ATATATATATATATATAATGAGGTTGAAGATAAAAAATAATTTTCCCACTCCATACCTTATTCATTAATATCCATGAATTTCAGCATGCATACATATGTAAGCATAGCTTTATGTACACTTGAAAACATTAATTTGTGAAATAATTGGATGTAAAATTAAAACAACCAAATGTCTCTGTGACAAATTTGGTTAAAGGACTTGAATCTAACAATTTAAATTAAAGTATAATATTAAAAAAAATCCTCAAGTTTTATTAAAGAAACAAATCATTGATTTTTTATTATATGAAATTAATACTATGAATTTTATTTAATTGTAACTATAAATTTGATGTAAATATTTGATATTTTGTTAAAATATTTTTATTTGATATTTGGTTATTTGATATTTTTTAAAAATGTTTTTGATTGGTTAATGTAATTTATAAATAATACTTATTTGAATTTATTTAGATAAGTTTGATGATAGGTATTTGAAGAAACGTTATTTAATGGTTATCACAACTGAATTTTATTTATTCACTTACTTTTAAGATTTAATTTAATTTGTTATACAAAAAAGATTTAATTTAATATGTATAATAATTATAATTTAATACAAATTTATAATTTTAATTTTATGTAATAAAAAAATTTTATTTTATAAAATTAAAAATTCTATTTTGGCATTTTTTTAAAAAAAAAATTTTAAATTAAATTAAATTTTTAACTCAATTAATTCATATAATACTCCTAATAGATGACATTAAAAGTTTGAAGGTTGGAATCTAGACCAAGGTTATTAATATCGTACAAAATAATATTTTAATTTTTTTAAAAAAAATTATATATACTAGTACCAGTTATTTAGATATATTATTTCAAATTTTTGGATTTAGTATAAATATATTTATAAATATACATGAACTTGTATATTATAATATTATTAATAAGCCACAAAATAAATATGTAATATATTCAAATCAAATAAATAAGTTTAAAAACATAATAAATAATATCCTAAATTTCTATGATATTTTTAAATATTTAATTTGATCATATGATATTTAAATAAGTATTTTTTTATATAACTATTAAGATAAAAACAAATAAATGAAAAAAAAAATTAATCAAAGCTTTATGATTGTTAAACTTTATAAAAGGAATATAATTATTTTTTAAAAAATTAAAATACTTATAAATTTTGATTTGAAAAAATAAATTATAAAAATATAAAATATAAAATAAAGAAACTCAATTTTTAAAGATTATTTTATCAATTAATTTTATTTTTATTAAATTAAAAATATTTAAATTATAAAAAATATTTTATATTTACATATCGATTGAAACATATTATTTTATCAAAATTTATTAAAATAGCTGGAAACTAACAAAAATAATTAATATTGTCTTGTAGCAAATCCGAATGAATTATTCTTAAGTGTATTATATTTTTGTATATTTAAAATATATCTAAGATCGATACCGAAATAATTTAGACATCATATGTAAGGCCTCTTTATGTAAAAAACTTCAAAAAAAAAATGAATCGGAAAATTTTTTGGAAAATTGAACTGGCTTCGTATTTATTCTAAAGAGAGGGACATAATACATAAATAGAGGAAAAAATAGGGACTTATATGCGCAAATTCCAATAATTATCTGGTAATGTTAGCTTTGCTGCAGCAGAAAACTAAGCTTGAGGACCAAATCCAATCTCCCCCAAACCCTAACCATGACCTGATCCCCCAATCCCCAAAACTCCTGCTTCATCCTCCAGCGTCCGATCAAAGCCCATCATAAAATAAAAAGTTTACAAAAGAAAATCACCAAGAAGCTCAACTGCTAGACTATGCCGTCCCAAGGTGATCTGGATCGTCAGATCGAGCACTTAATGCAGTGCAAGCCGCTATCAGAGGCGGAGGTGAAGACGCTGTGTGAGCAGGCACGTGCGATCCTCGTGGAGGAGTGGAATGTTCAGCCGGTGAAGTGCCCCGTCACTGTGTGCGGCGATATCCACGGCCAATTCCACGATCTCGTCGAGCTGTTTCGCATCGGCGGCAACGCCCCCGACACTAATTATCTCTTTATGGGCGATTACGTTGGTAGGTTCGCTTTTCGATTCATTTTATTGGTATTTCTTGATTTTCATTTGACCTAAGTTTTTTTTACTGTGTTACTTTTTAATTATATCATTTCTTTTTTTGGAAGATTTTGGTTTGGAATTTTTTTTAAAATTATAATTATTATTGATTGAAAACAGAAGAATTAGGAGGAAAATTTACCATATAAAAAATGGAATATTTAGGAAGAGAAATGATACCCACGTAATTTTTTGTTCTAATTTATTGTTATTTGCAAATAGTTTTAGTTTTTTGTACAAAGCAAAATTCTAATATTTAAATATGGTAGTTTGAGAATAAACTTGTATTTATATCATCTAAAAGGGAGTTGAAATAGAGCCGTAGGAGGAGAGATGAGTAAATTTCTGAGCATTTCCTTATTGACCCTGAACAATGTTGATTCAGTAAATTTCAATCGAGCCAAGCCCTTTTCTGAGAGTTCAATGTATCTGATTGATTATGATATTGTTTGGTTTCATCTGTGACATGCTCGAGTTAGCGTTTTAATGAGGGACAAATACAAAGAATATACCCTACGGCTGAAAATTTTTAGGTTTTCCAAAATCAATGATTGTAGGCACTTGGCAGTAACTACACAAAGGCTTGCTATTCCTTTGTCCACCCGATCTATAAAAGGTATTCCAAAAAAACAAAAGCACCAGACCCTCTGATCCTCTCTTTAAGTCAAGTGGCTATCACTCCTTAACTTGAATCAATGTTACCCTTAGAAGAGGACTGTGTAGAAGGATATGGAGAGTCTTGACAATGAGTTTTAGTGGCAATCTAGTCCCATTGGTTTACTTTTTTGTTTCTAATGGGCTACGCTGGCCTTTTTCTTGTCCAATATTGCAACAAATCATGCATATCAATGCATCCTTGTTAGGTGCTTTTCATGGCAGCATTGATTTTTTTTTTTCTCTTGTTGTATGCAGATCGAGGGTATTACTCAGTGGAGACTGTCACTCTTTTAGTTGCCCTGAAAGTTCGATATAGAGATAGAATAACTATTTTAAGGGGAAATCATGAGAGCAGGCAGATAACTCAAGTGTGAGATATACATATTTAGTGTTTTGTTTTTTCCTTTTCATTCAGTAATTGCACTAACAGTCTGTTTGTTTCTTCACCTTGGAGCCAAAAAGTACTCATGAACATTCACTGAAGGAGTTTAATTTTGTCATATGTTAATGTCATTAAATGAGAATTGATAATGGAATGAAAGGTTTTGTTGCAAGAAGTTTACTTGAGTAGTTCACTGGTTGTTTTGCTTTTTTTTAGTTTGCTAATGAATGCAAAGGGAAATTAATATATCCTGTAAGAAAGTTGGAGAATTGGAGAATCGATACTTTTTAAACCTGCTACATGTATTTGGATCATGATATACCTTTATTAATGAGTGAATTTATTTAGTGATTTTGTTGGTTTAGTCTATGTTCATATCAATAAGCAAGTGCCTCTCTTTTTAGGTATGGCTTTTATGATGAATGCCTGAGAAAATATGGAAATGCTAATGTATGGCAGTATTTCACTGACCTCTTTGATTACTTACCTCTGACTGCTCTGATTGAAAATCAGGTTTGCATTCTCTGACACAGACTTATGTTGAGCATTTCCATGATCTCAGCTGACAACTATTTATGTGCCTTGCAGATTTTCTGCTTACATGGTGGACTCTCTCCATCTTTGGATACATTAGATAACATTCGTGCTCTGGATCGTATACAGGAGGTAAAGCTGCAGTTCTGTTATCCTTTTCAATAAAAGTTTATAGTCTTAGAGTAGATTGTCTACCTTGTTACTTATAATAGTATGTGCCAGAAAACCTTTTAGAACGTTCCAAATTGCAACATACTAATGAATACAAAATGCATTTTTGACATATGTTGAGTTCATAATCAATATTAGCTTTTGGCAATCAGAGGCAGGCTAGAGTAAAGCTTCTTATAGTGTATGTAATATGCCTGCTCACTAACCAAAGACACATATCATTGACCCTTGGAATGCTCTGTATCTTTGTTATTGTCAACACCAAGGACACTAATATTAGTGTTGATACTTGTATTGTGAAATCATAACAGCAGCATCTATTAAACAGTGTAGCATTCTCATTCACTGTTTTTGCAGAAGCCTAATAGGTGTCATCACATCAAATATGCCTTCCCTGATATCACTGCACTTCTAATTGTACTAGTATTTTCCTATTTGTTGGGTTTGTAGGTTCCTCATGAGGGTCCAATGTGTGATCTCTTATGGTCTGATCCTGATGACCGATGTGGATGGGGAATATCTCCTCGGGGAGCAGGGTATACCTTTGGACAGGACATTTCTGGACAGTTCAACCACATGAATGGGCTCACTCTGATTTCTAGAGCTCACCAGCTTGTTATGGAAGGATTTAATTGGTCCCAGGTTTGTGGATCCCTCATCAAAACAGAAGCATATTTTAATAAGTTATTCCTATGTATTATTATTTACATTGATCTCTTTATTGTTGAAGGACAAGAATGTGGTAACAGTGTTTAGTGCACCAAATTACTGCTATCGCTGTGGAAATATGGCTGCAATACTTGAGATTGGGGAGAATATGGAGCAAAGTTTTCTTCAGTTTGACCCTGCTCCACGTCAGATTGAACCTGAGACCACACGCAGAACCCCTGACTATTTTTTATAATTCCGTCAACTTACCTCCTGCTGGCAAATTTGCATATTTCCTGTTGTGTTTTTGTAGATGTGAATTAAAAAATCAGGGAGCTCCGGCTTCTAGTTGAGGGCCGGACAAACGAAACCATTGTTTTTGTCATTCTTTTGGTTGGCTGGTGCTGCATTCGTTTGAGTCTATAGGGTTAATTTGTAGAAGGTTATTGTCATGTATTCTACAAGGTGAAGAAGTAGAATATAACAAGGGATTTTTTTTTTTTCTGTATTACGAATTTAAATCATCAGGGGTGATAATGCATGTTCCAATTTTTTTCTGTAAATGTTGTGTGAGAGCTGTTTCTTGTTTATTTATTTGTTTATTTTTACACAGGAAGCCCTATTCTGGGATAAAGAAGAGGGTTGCAGGTGCAAGATTAAATCTCAGATTTATTGAATTTCACTTTTTAAGAGTAATTGAATGTTATTTTTTAAGAATAATTGTATAAATTAATTGAGTTAAATTTTGGGTTTAAAATTCAGTGTCTTGTCTATTCTTTGACTTCCTTTTAGGTGGATTATACCCTCAGATTCGGAAGGTAGAGTCACTTCCTTGGTGAATGCATTCTTTTGAAGAAAAAACACATTTACTTCACATGTGGAATTAAAATTTTCGCTGACGTTGGTTTAGTGGGTGAGGAAAGTTTAGAAAACCAAAGAAAAAGCCAAAAAAACCAAAACAAAAACAAAACAAATGGAAGAAAACCAATTAACATTTCAGTTACAAAGCACTTCGAAATTGTGGGTTGATTTTTTCTGTCTTCCCTGAACCCTGATCTCATCGCTTTAACAATCTTCTAGATTTTTTTAAGGTTGAAGCAACAATATGCGAAGTGAGTTTGATATAGTCAATTAACCATTTTCATTTTTGTGCTAGCATTTGCCTACCACTAGTTTCAAGTTTCAACTAGAATCTCAGATAATTGATGATGGATTCCATCTCAGCTCAACAGCTTGCTTGCCAAGTCATCGCAAAGCTCAACTTGCTGCTACTCCTGCCTGCAAAAATGACTGGTCAGAAGTATTGCTTTGATTAGACCATACATGGCAAAAGAAGCAAATAGTAATACTTTTAGCTTGTGGCAAGAAAACGTTTGTGGTAGACTAGGATATGTCACAAATAAAGTTGCATTTGGATGGACGATCCGGTGTCAATATCATTTGATTGAATAAATTGATATTTCTTTCATGAAAAACAAACATGAGGTGACAAATCTAGTCTTTTTATTAAGATTTCAAATAGCTCTGCCGAGTTTAAGTTGATTATGTTTCACCTCTTACTCGAAGCAAGACAGTCAAACAATTCCCACAAATTATGTTTGGATGCAGTGTAGTGAGGAGGATCCCACTGCATTGTACCCCAAATAACCTCTTTTTTCATTGGGGAGACCGCATTGCACCTCTTATCCAAACATAGTTTAAGGTTAAAAAGGCAGGAATTAACCAAGTTGCCATGTTAGTAAAGACTTCTTACCATAGGAGGGACCAAAAGAGGAGAGCTCCAAAAGCTTCAAAACAAGCAAGATCATATATGCATCCTAACAAAAAAAAAGAACAAAAACAAAAATTTACTTTCAAAAAGCATATAGTTTAGCATAGTACTGTCTATGTATACAGGTTTCTTAGAAGTATATGACAAAAACCTAAAACAAAGTGGTATCTGCTAAGTTTTTAAGTGGCAAGTAGTCGTGCATTTGCTTTCATACCAGTGGTTTGATAAAAGTTATTGGTAGCAAAAACATTTACCAGTAATGGTTTGGAAGATAATTATCCATCTCTGCTTTCAGAATAAGACATTGTTACATAGTGTTGAAGCTTTTGTAGACTCTGAGAAATTTCTGTTAATAGTTTTGCTCCATCGCTGCCTATTTCATCTGTAATATCATTAACATGTTTCAGAAGTCCATCTGCTGCAAGAGCCGCAATCTTTTCATGAATTCGGCACAATTCACTCTTTAGGACTGCTTTACTTCCATTTCCTGGAACAGTGAATGAAAATGGAAAGTAAAGCATGATCACACACGCAAAGCCTGATCTTTACTGTTGGTTAAGGAAGAATGTTCATTTGAAAAAGGAAATAAACTGTATGATTTCATCAGAGAAAGAAATTTTCAAAGCCACCTAGGCTGCATTGCAAAACCAGGTACCATATTTGTGTCTTTGTAGGCATGTTACCTGTCTCTTCTTCCAAGTTGTCATCATCGTTGCTACTAGGCTTTGAGGAAACACCCTCACCATCTGATGAAATCTGCAGTTTCTTCTCTCGATTTTTCAACCGGTCCGAAACTTTCTTTGATGTGTTAAACCCTTCCTCTCCGACCTCGTCATGCATTGAATCTGACTGATCATGATTCTGTGCTTTTTCTCCAGTATTGGACCCTTCATTAAGGCTACGAGTAGGGCTGTTACATTCAGCTCTTCCATTGTCGGATGAGTAACATGGCAGTTTCAAGACTTGGTAGCCCTCGTCACTCTCATCTCCTTGTCCTTTAAAATCAACTTCCTTTAAGCATCCATATTTTTTTCTGTAAGCCTCAAGTTCAGCCTCTAAATCCTTAAATTCTTCCTCCCTCTTGGCCAGAAAATTATTCATCTCTTGTAGGGCTTCTTGGTCGTATTCTGCCTGCTCCTCCATCATTCTCTGGTATTGCAAGGCCTCCATCTGAACAGCTGCCTTCTCAGCTTGCAACCTTGTGATCATGGCCATTGCATTGTTAGCAGCCACAGCAGATGCACTTCTTTCTTCATCCAGTTCCATGTACAAAGCCATCAGTGACTTGCGATCCATACGAACTTGTCTCTTCAAATGATGCAAAATATCACCTTCTGCCTCATTTGCCACTTGCCCCTCTCCAGATTCTGAAGCAAACACTGTTTTCTCAAGCAGTGATTTCCTTGGAATTCTTGTCCACCTAGGACTGTTTGTTGCCGACTCTGATAGTGAGATTCCAAAAAACTTGTTTCCCCTGATAAAGTGAGGGGTCTTATCTTCATCATCAGCATCCATCAGCAATGGTATTGTAGCAGCCTTGGCATCTTCCCTGACTGTTGAAACATCCATGGCCAAAATCAGTAAAATGACCAACATATCACAGTAAGAAAAAGTTCCAGTAACAACTTAAAGGCATACTGATAATTTCACAATTGATAATGTCAAAAACAACTATGGAAAATGGAACTAAATACTAGTTTATGCTTTAAACTCACATGGCTTTTCAAGGATTATTCCCCTGGTGCGATCAATATCCTCGTGAACCTCTGATTCGTCCGAGTTAAGCTTGAGCTCCGTATATTTTATGTGTGACAAATACAAATTTCGATAGGCTGGAGACCGGGGAGATGGAGCAGGAGCTAGGGATGACAGGGAAGAATTCTTCACTTTTGCATAGGAGGATTTGATCTTCAATGGCAGCCAACAACATGAACACCATTGATCATTGCTCTTCTCAAGAACTTCATCCTTTTTTCCAGCAGGCAATGACAGATGAACTTCATGATCTTCATCAACAAGCAATTCAATATCCTTGTGTAAGATCCCCAGAAGGGACTTGTAAGTATCACAATCAGATTCTTTCTCAGTTGCAAAGGAGAGAAGACAGCTTTCACACATTTTTCTTATGTCAGAAAGCTTCTTGTGAGCATGACAGAATGCTAGAGATGAAACTTTCTTCTTATGATTTTTACATACGGAATCATTGTAATAGAAATCAGCATTTCTTCTAACAAGGACATGATCAATCCTGGTGCAAAGCAAGCAAGGGATAGGCAACTCAAAGAACCTGGCAAATTCGCTTGCGAAAAAAGCAAGAAACCCGTCAATGAACAGAACAAATATCATCATCCATTCAAGCACTGCATAAATAAAAAACTTTGCCACTTTTCCAAGTTCTTGTTCTACAAACTGCTTGAATGATCGTTTTGCCATCTCTTAAAAGGTTAAAATACAAAGAAACAAAAGCCAAAAGTGGTTTTGGGATTGATAAGGATCGAACTGAAGATCACATTAATGTGCTTAAAGGGTGGAGAGATGGAAGATCATGACCTGGGTGGCATTTAGCAGACCAAGATCATGACCTCTCTCACTCTTGTCTGTGTACGAGGAAGGAGAAGAGAGACAAGAAACTAAAGGTTCTGTTCGGTTTAAGGATTCAAAATTTAATTTGGGTGGTGAGTATCCATTGGCTATAAATGAGAGAATGTTTCTAAAGAAATTGAGGCTCTAAGGACCACTTTGGACCTGAAATAACGGTCTGTCATGTACTTTCCAACCAATTGCACCAATTTTAAACGACATTGCTCCTTAGGCTGTTGTAGAGATATAGTGTGGGATCAGATTCAGAACTTGACTTAATTTAAGGCCCTACTAGATGGAAATTTACCGATTTGTTGGCTGGTTGGAAATTATCAATTAATGCTAAAAAATGGTAGAATGTAACTTATCCATCTTCACAAGTAGCATAAATCTACTTACAAAGAAAATAAAGTTATATTTTTAGAGAAAAATCAAATAAAAATGCTAAATTGCTAATTTGAATTAGTTTTACTTTCTTTTTTTTAAGGAAATCCAACAAAAATTTTAGCACATATCTACCCTCTGCCTTCATTTGTAAAGTTAAAAATTTTCTGAGTTAATTACTTTTAAAAATTTTCATCCAACAAATCTAAAATTTAAATTCTAACATTTGCTATTATTTTTTCTATCCTCAAACTAGACTTCTTTTGTATAAAAAATTTTTTTTTTAATTCTTCCATGAATATATAAGATAATTTCAGTCTAAAACTGGTCCAAACAAAGTCTAAGAGTGTCACTCCTTCAAATCAATTACAATTTTTAGGAAGGAGTATTTAAAAAGTCCATCGAAGGTATATAAAATAATAATTATAATGCAATTTTTATATATTTTTTAAGTTTCTTGTCTTCAGTGGTTGAACTTCTCTTCAGCCTTGTTTCCAGGTTTATATCTCTTAGCTTTAATCATCATCAACATTGCTCTCACTGTCTCACATCACCAGTAAACATATTTCAATAATTCAATTGACCTGCAAGCCAGCAAAACCATTAAAACACTGCTTCAAACCAACGACACCAACTAAAGTAACTGTACAAGGGAAGCAAAATTCATAAACCAGCTTTGCAAACTGAACCACTACCTCCTTATAGCATGGCTAATATTTGACAACAAAACCAAGATCCTAGCTTTCCGTAAAAGATATGTGTTTGACATGGAGTATTCTATGGTATTAATTGGCAAATTTTTGAAAAGGTGAAGAAACTATGAGAACTAGTTCCCTATTACTTCAAATGCAAGTATGGAAGAAAGCTAATGGCCACTGCCCTATAACAACAATGCCCATATAAGCAAAACTGGAATAAGTTGAACATCAATAACAGATATTTGATGAAAATGATTCTTCGCGTTAGTAAAACCGACCCAGTTAGCTAGTAGGCAAAACATTTGAAGATACATAAAGTGATCTGCATCCCTTGACCTGTAAAATTACAAATAAATATATAACCAATAGTCAAGATAAGAACCAATGTCGTAATAGTTAAATAAAAGATAAAGCTACCTCTGAACATGCAGGGTTTTATCAAAGAAATTGGGACAACTATGGATATACCCATCAATTACCAACTTTATCATTCAAAATATTGTAAGCCAAGGCATTAGGGGAAACAACATAAAAGCTTAATATTTTAGAAATAATTTGGTGCAAAAGGATGTACAGACTACATAGACATCTAAAACTAGTAAAATTGAAACGTTAGTTGAGTTTAAAATGTGGATAACAGTCAAGATGCCTGAATAAAGAGGTATTAGCTACACTACTCAATTCAGCAGGACTGCCTCCCACAGAATTTTCCGTAATTACATTGCCTTCTTATGACCAATTAAGTGGCAGCCTCTCTCTCTCACCTACCCATCTCCACTTTTCTGCCTCATATTCATGTTATAAGAACCTATATAGTCTGATCTAGATAAACTGTTCAGCCAGTCTACCTGGCTAATTCACCCCCCAAAAGGGGGGAAAGGGGAAGGGGGGTTGCAATGAGAGGACAGAAAATACAGTTTGGCCCTTATGAATGTTACGGTTTTAGGCTCAACTTACCTGCAACAAGCAAGTAGGAATTTGAATAAACCCCTGCAGGAAAAGATCGACCTTCTCCAGAATGCTCTGTGGAACAGGAGTGATCACATAAAGCAAACCTTTGAATGTGTCAATTCCTCTCACAATTCCTGGTTCATAAAGCATCAAGTAAGAAGAAATAGAAAAAATAAAGCTACTTTGATACTACTTTTCAGTCCTTACAATGGGGGTGGGGGAAACTCCTAGAAAAGTTCATGCTAATATTCACCCTAGCTAAGCCACACAAGGATCTTATTCATTCAGGCCATCCAGCACAACTATCATTGACAAAATGCTTTTCTCTTTGCTAGTTTAAAGATAGTTAGCACATATTACTCTACAATGCCTCTATCTGTATGTGCCATAGAGCCACCAACAGTATATTGCAGTGTTGTTGGCAATGAAAATCTGAATTTATATATTTATATGCTAGAAAAATTATCTCGTACGCTACAATGGCTGTGAAGTTTTTAGACTCTAGCAGCAGGGTTAAAGGATTGACAAGTGTCTTAGTAGGGTATATTTATGTATATTAAAAAATTAATTAATCAATAAATGAACACATGTCAACTCCTTAATCTCACTTCTGGAGTTTAGAATTTTCACTGCCAATGTATAGAAAAAAAATGCATATATGCTATTAATTAATCACACATGGGTAGGTATGATGACTTCTCGACTTTTTCTGATAAAATGAATGGAAATTGAAGAATCAAAAGACAATGCAAAGCAATACCAAAAAGATAAAGTTAATGATGATCAAGCAAATCAACTGAGGCAGTGTACCCCTCACATACCAAGACCAACACACCAGGGTAAATCTTCAGACTCCTCTGAAGTCACAGCCAAACCAACAATAGTTGCATTCAAACTGTAGTATATTTCAGTGCTTGGAACCTAGAATTAAAGACAAAAACCATTATACCAGGATTTTACTAGTACTGAATCATTTTTAGTTTTTACAACACAAAAGAGAGATGCCACAAAAGGTAGAGCATTTGCTGTGCAATCATCAGTAAGTTCTTCCGTCTTAACATTGTGCAATGAAAAAAATTAATAGAAACTGATTGGTCTCATTCTTGAAACACATAAGAAATACATAAAGATTCAGAAACAGCATCAAAGCATTTTTTGTGGCACAAATGAAGAAAATATTTCTGAGGGTATGGCATCAAACCAGGCCAGTTGCATAATATAACCAGTATAATAGGCCCCAGATAGAGAGAAAAGGCTTAATTTGTTGTTTTTCTCCAAGGAAATTTTATTGCCAAAAAAACCAAATTCATTTAATGCTATCTCACCTGGCAATGAAGATGTCTAATTTTGATACTTGATATTGGAACTTCATAAGGAGAATGAGAAGCCAGTGCATACGCAAGTTCTTTGATTGTAGTAATAGGCTTGTCACTAGGAAAGCACTGCCTGAAATAAGCCATTATCCGTAAATCCCGCAAAAGGCAAGCATCCTTCTGTACTAGCACTCTACAAAAAGAGAAAGTAACGTAAGATGTAGGAAAACAAAGCCACATCACATGAGAATTATCATGTTTTTCTGCAAATATGCACACCTTATTAGAATAACATAACATATAAAAGAGACAAACCTTGAATCACTAACTCACCATCTATAAAAATCCCAAAATATGTTTCAAATTTGCATTTCAAAGAAGGCATCTAGCTTAACTCAGCAGTGTAACAAGATAATATTAAGCAGCCAAACAAATGCCAATAGAATTCATATTAAAGTAATTTACCACTTGAATTGGGCACGACTGTTCGAATTTACATCTCAGTCATATACAATTGTAGGTAAAATGAACCAAATTTATATAAATAGATAACAGACTAGTAAGATATAAAAATTATTCAGTGACCCTTAATATCAGGAGCAAAGACCAAACTATGTGAAACCAGCACTCAAAATCATTTAGTAAATCACATTGTTATATAATTCTAGAGCTTAAAGGGCAAATTAAATAAATCTATACAAATTACTGATATTCAAGATATCAAAATTTGTAAATTAACTTAAAGGTGGCAACAGACTTACGATCTATTAAAGGAGTCCTGGCGAGCTGACTTGATCTCTATGATATTAACCATCCCATCACAATCACCATCACCATCAAACCAGAATGCTCCACCTGGCAGATTCTTATTCTGGGCAGATATGTATATTTTAACCACATGAGTAGGAGAAATATATTTCAGCATATCAACCAATATCTCGTAACCAGTACCTGACAAATAAAAGATAACCAAACATTAACATTATAATCGTAGTAAATTACATGATATATGAATAAATGATACCTGAAAAATGTCATCAAAGAACAAGAACTGGTAATAATTAGTAGCAAAGAAACAAGGGAATTAGCCAATTGGGCACAGATCGCAGCATACCTTTCACCCAGCCAGGGGTATTGACAACAAGAGGCAATTCAGTCCTAACAGGGTTTTCTCTCTTGTCAAATATGCAGTATTCCTTTCGATAGTAATCATATAGGGTAAATATATATTTCAAGTATGTTGATGGATCCCTTTTCGAAGAAACATCCCCAAAGAAAAAACACCTTGAAGAAAATCACACTGAAGATTTTTAGAGCTTATTACAAATAATAACAAATAGATCTCAAGTTCAATTCTTGAAATACTCAGTCCAAAACAAAATTAACAGAATAGATTCAAAGATATGTACCTCTCAGGTGTCTTCAAGCATGGAATTGCCAAATCTATTTGGACAGCCAAAAATTATAGAAAGCCCCAGTCAGCAGACAAAACCCAAGTTGATTAACCCAGAGAGTAAATTTTGAGGATATGATGAAAAATCAAAATGTTAAGAAAGCTGAATACCTGGTGTTAGTTTGTCAACAACTGTAAGGGATAGGAAACCTGGTGCAGTAAACTCAGGCTGCCCAACATCTGTGTCCAAATAAGCTACTTTTTGATACCTGATAACAACACACCGAGATAATCATAATTAAAAAAAAAATGCATTCAATTCAAAAGAAACACCATTTAATGTATATTTCACAGGTAATTGCTAAAACCCAGGCTCTGCTTTTTCTATACATTAACAAAAAAACAACAGCAAAGAACACATCTTTTCCCCTCCATAGTAACAGCTTGAACAAGACCAAAAAATAAATAAAATAGATAAAGTTTCCTTTATTTCCTTAATCAGAAACTACAATTAGCCCTCCACATACAATAATAATAATAATAATAATAATAATAATAAATCTAGGGCAGACCCACTAGCCATCCAGCAAAAACACCACCAAAAAAAATTGTTTAAGCTAATATCAGTGTATATTTAAAGAATTCAACATAAACCCATTTCACTGCAAATAAATGAAAATACAGAATTTTAAAAAGAAAAAGAAGCGAATGATGAAATCAGTACAGCGGAGTCCTAACCTTTGGAGAAGAGTGTTAAGGAGATGACGAGAGAAAGTGGTTTTGCCAGAGTTTTTGGGGCCACAGATGAAAGAAACAGGGGGTGGCGAAGTTACTGAATCATAGGCTATGGAATCTGCAGCCTCAGACCACTCTTCTGGTACATATATGTTTGCTGTTGAACTTACAGGATCCGACATCGAAGCCTGGGAAAAACAAAACAAAAAAAACTCTTATCCAACTCTCTCTTCTATTTCTTTTTTCCTTTTCTTTGTTACGTCTTCTAGTTATTTCACTTCTAATTTCTGAGTTTCTATCTGTTGCAGAGAAAGTGGCTTTGGTGTGAACGTATACGGCCTCTGCGTGTTATGCTGTTTGGTGAGGAGCAACATCGATATTTATGTGTACTGCAAATATACCCCGCTGTTTCTGCAGATCATTTTTTTGTTATTTGTATTTAGTTATTTAATTAAAAAAATTAAAAATCAAACATAAATAACACGCAAATACTTTAATTGACTTTTTTTTCATAAAATTTATATAATTAAAAATTAAAAATTAAAAACTATAAACTAAAAAATAAAAAGAAACTAAAAAAAAGTAAGAAAAATAAAAAAAGCTTAGTTATATTAACATCTAATATAGATGTTAAAATATTAATTTTTTAAATTAAAATTAAAATTAATTTTATTAATATAGTATATATATGTCTAAAATTAAATTAATTATAAAATATATACATTAATATATATACTTTAAAATTGATTGAAACAAAGTACCATAAATATGTCTTGAACTTAATATTGTCATTTTTTTAAAAAAAATTTAACCTATCTCAACTCAATCTCAATTTAAAAAAATCAATCATTGTTAAATTGAGATAGATTAAAATCAATCAAATATAAATTATTTTAGCATATCTATCAATTGATGCTTTTCATTATAAAATTTATCTAATTAATAAAAACAAAAAAAATGAAATGAAAAAAAGACAAATGAGTTCCACTTAACACTTTTTATTATTTTTTTACAAAAGAATTTAGAAAAAAAAAAAAGAGAAAGAACGAAAAACCACTTAAAATGAAAAACATTAAAAAAAAAAAGGAAAACAAAGTTCGTTGGGCACTAAATGGACATCTCATTTGAGTGAGAATCTATTGAATAAGAATTGTTTTGATATTTGTATCCATCAATTTTTTAATTACAAAAGGTATTTAATTAAAATATAAAATATTTGAAAAAAAAAAAAGTAAAATGTCTTTTTCACAAATTTTATGTAAATAAAAAAATTAAAAAAATTTTAAGGTACGCTTAAGCCCCTAAATGAAGTTCAAATAAAAGTAAAAATGAATAAATTTTATATAATAAATAAATAGATGGATTACATCTTAATTATGTATAAATATGGTATTTTTCTTAAATTAAGATATTAAATAATATTTTATTAATATAATACATATATAAATATAAAATTAAAAATAATTTAATATATATAGTCAAAATAAAACAAAAAAATTATAAATCCACATCCGACTTGAGTTTGATTTTTGAAAAAAAGTCTCGATTTAATCTCAAATAAAAAAATGCACCTATCAAATTTGCATAAATTGAAATACATTGGATACATGTTTGTTGAGCATATCTTAATTAAATTTTTTAAAAAAATTATTGTTTTTTTTTAAATTATCTTATTAAAACAAATAATGAAGGCAAAAAATAAAATATATTGCTACTTTTACATATTCGTTGATTCTTTTCCAAGAAAGTATTTAATGAAAAATGGAATGAAGCAAAAACTTTAGAAAAAATAAAATGAAAAAACAAAAAAAAGAAGAATGTCAAGTTGCCTCGCCACATAAGTAATGATGAGCTCTCTTTGTAAAATTTATATTATAGATTTATATCTTTTGTTTTTATTTTAGTTTTATATTTTATCATTTTTTATATTAATAACTTTTTTTTAGGTTTTTTTTTTTTTGTAGAGTTCGCTTTAGAGAGGTTTGGTTCAAAATAAGTTAGATTACTAGTCGAAATTTTGCTTTTCGTAGTTTAAGTCCTTAGTTTGGTTCACGAAATTTGATTTCTAAGGTATTCTAAGATTTTTAACATTGTCAAAAAAGAAAGATGATAGTCTTGAATTAAAAACCCACCACTCTCTAAGGTTTTTAAAGAATCCTGAAGAAATATAAAATTTATCCCATTTTTCCTTAAATAATAATTTTTTATGATCTATTTTACTTTTAAAAATCAACGTAATTACATAATAAATCAAGATCCATTTTGACACTCAAAGTTGTGTTCCTAATCACACAAATGAGCAAAACTGCATTTCTAATCACACGATTGAACACCTAGCAATAATAATATGTATTTGAATTTTTATAAATTTATATATTTGTTTTTAACTGATTAAGTTGTAGAAAGAAAACATTTTTAAATTATAAACATAGTTGATCATGTATAAAATAAAATCTTAATAAATTAAAAATTTTTATTTACACAAGGTTGTTATGTTAGAAATATAGTCATATGTTATAATATGTTATGAAAATAGTAATTATAATAAAAAAACATTTTTAAAAGAAAAACATAATAGATTGTTTCAAAATTAAGATTTTGAATTTTTTTATAGTTTTAGAAACACTATGTTTTTAACATATGAAATGTAATTGATCATAAAAAAATATATAAAAATAAATTTTATATTTTGATATTAACAATATTTCTTTGTATGAAAATGTCGTAATTGATTTAATACGTGGTTTAATTGGTTTAACTTGTGGTACATCTTTTGTATAAATTGGTCTAACAAAAAATAAGATATAAAAAATTAAGTTTTTAAAAAAGAGAAAAAAAAGAAAAATTTGATAACAACTAGGTCAAAACAATAAAAAAAATTTATTAAGTATTAAATAAGAAAAAAAATAAAAAACACACAATACCAAATGAAAAATTTAAGAAAGAAAAAGATAAAAATGAGTCCAAAAAATATATTAGAAATGTAGGTCTCACATTTTAAAAAATATATATATAAATTATAAGAAAATGAAAAAGAACAAAAAATAAAGTAAAAAAATGTCCATATGGACAGTCGATTACCATGTTAAAAGAGTTTACTACTATAAACTACCATAAGGTACAGTGGACTACCAATACCAAAATAGTCAACTACTATGCACTAAAAAAAAATACCAAAGTTTAAATACAATTTTGAGCTAAAATTACAAAAGAGCAATTAAATTGCTTAACCAAAGGCAATCGACTACTACGTCTAGAAATCAATTCAATCAATTCCTTAACCTAAGGTAATTGATTGCTAATGATTGTGAGTCTTCTGTATAATGAAAATGACTAAGGTAATTAACTGTTATTGTAAAGAAGTCACCATGTTGATGCTAAAACCATTATGGAATGTGTGATAAGTCAACTGCTCTATAGGAAAGTCAATCGATTACCTTCTAGGTGAAGTAGATTATTTTAGTTGAAAAGTTGCAAGTTTATGAAACATGAAAAATTATTTCTTTTATAATGAAAAGTATAATCATTTAAATGAACTAATACTTCTTTAATGATTTAGAAAATTAACTTTTTTATTGAAACAACAGAAATAAAAAATCACAACTTTTGAATTCAATCTCTATAAATTGAAATGATGTAAGTTCATTTGAAAAAGTTAAAAAATTCAGTAGCGTTCTCTTCTCTCTCATTCTTTCTCAACTAGAAGCCAAGTGTTTTTGACATTGTTTATCGCAAAAAAACTTTGTTAAAAGAAGGGTATTTTCACCTTTTCTCAAAAGTCATTTAAGGGTTTGAATTCATTAGTACAAAGGGATTCAAACAAGGCTTTATTATATTTTAAAGACATTTTTATTTATTTCTTTTGCATACCGTAATTGATATGGATGAAATAAATTTTATGAAAAATGACATTTATAACACGTTTTGAAACAATTTTCTTTCTACATTGAAGATTCCATTTTGGTACAACACAAGACACTTAAAGGAAAGGCTACAATCGGTTCAAAAAGAGTTCATCTTCAAGCACACATTCTATGTAATTTGTAGCCTTGCATTACAACATTGAATAGTGACTATCAATATCATAAAAGTTTTACTAGTTTCTATTTTACTAAAATAAATTAGTATACATTTATTTCAATATTTTATGTAGGTATACTGAATTTAGTATTAAGGATAAATCATTTTAAACATATAATAATTATATTATATATAATATATATAAGATGCAAAACTAATGTTATGAGTTTCACAAGAAAGAAAATGATCGTGTTTAGATTAAAAATTAGTTACAATAATAAGAAAGATAAGGCAAAAAAAGGGAATTGTGTATTTACCCATTTTTTAAAGAATAAATGAAAAACTATATTTAAATTGAAACAAATTTTACTATATCTATAATCTATAACTATAAATTAAAAGAATTCCCTAAAGATTATCACGTTGACACTTGTTTAATATTTAAAAAGATTATTTTACCCTTAATCAATAATAATTTATATTATTATGTTATTAAAATTAATCTCATTTTTTTGTGATTCGAAAATAAAAAAAAAAAAACAAAAATGAATCCAAAATAATCATTAAAAAAGAACATCTTTCATTCCCTTAAAAGAAAAAAAATGCAAAACTAAATACAAAATTAAAAAAATCAAAAATCAAAAATATTAAAAATAAATTAAATTCAAACACATCCAAAAAATCATCAAAATTATTTTTCAACCTCTATAGCTTCAAAATACAACACCAAAAATTTCAAACTAAAAAAAAAAGTCAGCAACAAAAATCATTAATAAAAGAAAAAAAAATGAGGCTTTTAGGCTTGGAGAGATTTCAAAAAAAAAAAAAAAGGGAAAATCAGTCACAGCGGAAATAACAACAAAAAACACCGTAAGCCACCATATTATGAAAACAAATATGAACTTTAAAAAATTAAAAATTTTCAAAAACTTTGGCTTAGATCTACACTTTTGTAAAGATTTTGAAAAATCTAAACTATTTAAAATAACAAAAAGTTTGATATACAGATGGAAAATATAGAGAAAGAAAAGGTAAATAGCAATGCTATATAGTAACCTCCTCGTATCAAAATCTAGATAGATGAAAAACATAGAGAGAAAGATAAAAGCTAAAAAGAGAAGAAAAAGAATAGAATGAAACAAAAAATCCTAAGTTTAGAAATTTACGTACAAACTAAAATATTAATAGCAACAGGTAAAAAAACAGAAGGAAGGTAGGCTAGGTTTAGGTAAACCCAACTTGAATTAGCTTTGAGCTTAATAAATTTTGGTTAAGTAATAATAATTTAAACATTTGTTAGCCTTTTCTTTTTAATCTTTTGTTTATTTAATTTTAAATTTGTGCATAAGTTAAATTTGTCAAATTATTTAAAAATGACATAAAATAAAAATTATTTGAATAAAT